TCATGTAGGACGTGAATGCTAGGTTTTTGATAACTGGGTGCATATATGTTCGACGTTGATGAAATATGTCATTACATTGAGACTTATTTGCTCTACACATGTTGCTTAGTGCCCCATCTTATTCTTCATACACCTGGAATACTTGATTGCCTGTTTTCTTAGTCCTTGAGCCTATTGTCTTGTACTATTTTCTCCTGAATCGAGTACCAGGATATGTAACCTAATTAGGTCACTTAGAGGTGAAGATCCTGGCAGAACGTCTATATCTTGTTTTGGGGCTGTGGTGCAGGGGCATCAGGGAAGCTGAAGGTGAATACTGACATGGAATTTACTGTTAGTGTCTGCCTATTTATTTCAAATGATTAGTGATTCATTTAATATAATGTCAAAAACCATTCTGGGAAATGCGGAATACTAGCGGTAGTCTCTCTAGCGGGCACTGGCTAAAATTGCCTTTCCACAAGAGATGCAAATGCTATAATTCAATGGTTTACTGGGAAGTTTTGAGCCAGGTTAAACTTCTGCACAAGGAGCTTTCTGGTAAAAAATGAAAGTTAAAACTAAAATAATGGCATTTTATGTGAGACAAAGATAGGCTGTCAAGAATGTAGAGGAGGTAGGTTGGGTAGTTGGTCAGAACTCTAGTGATAACAGGCTGATCTTCCCCAAGAGCTCACATCGATGGGAAGGTTTGGCAACTTTCAATTTTTGTCCAAGATAGTTGTTGGTATGTCTAAGAGAGTGGGAGTCTTTTGAAACTATACTATGTATTTTACATAGAGACGGTTGGTGTTAGAGAAATAAGAGCCAGTGTTAGAGAAATAAGAGCGAGGATTGAATTGTAGTATTGTAGCACTTCGCTGTGCCATGGCTGTCATGGACCGCTTGGTGGCTTAGCAGATGTCCATAACCGTAAGGGGACGACAAGAAGTTATTTTGACAACTATGTATTTGACACTTTTGTGCAATAAACATACGTATGTAGACACGGGGTACCAGATACTAATGTACAAATTTATCTGCATAGATTTTCTGATCTTCACTGATTCAATCAATACGAGATACTAGTATATACTAATTTACCGTTTAAGTTTGCTGGTTCAACTTTTGAATCTTTTCCTTCTTGTGGTTACTTCTTGTCAGTTAGAGTGGGGAGATATTTAATCTTTGTCTTTATTTACTACTCTAATAATCTCAAACTCTTCATCTTTGCCCCTCTAATTTTGATTCTGGAGGGTGTGTGTGTGTGTGTGTGTGTGGTTGGTTATTGCACGGCAAATATCCATCTTATTTGCGTTGCATATTCTGAATCAAATTAAGATTTGTAGGAATGGATTTTCATGAGCTGTTGGACATTCCACAAGGCGACCGCAGGAAGTATCATGATGATGTTACAGTTATGGTGGTATCTCTTGAGGGAAGAATCTGGAAGTCGTCCGGAAAATACCTATGACACCTCATTGCTGGCAACATTTCAACACACCGAGATAGGCTCTTGTTTGGATCCCCACCTAAAGTGCCTGCAGGCAGGCTGAGAATTGGTGAATATAACCCGCTTTCATGGGCCCACAGACTATTTCATCTCAGACAAAGCATGCAGTTGTAGGTAAGAAATCCTACATTACAAGAGGCAAGAACTAGAATCTATGCTCATGCAATTGCAAAATATTGTTTTCAGGAATAGGAAATTTTTGTAGTTGGGACTGGTAAAAAACTTCTCTGGAGAAATGATCTTCAATGGTGAACTCTTTGCAGATATGGAGGGTCTTTTCATTCATTTTTTCTTCATTTTGCTTTGATTTTAGAACTAGTATTTAGTTGGTTGGGGGTTCAGTTACAGAGCTTGACATCTGGCTTTTGTTGAATCTGAGAATCTGTAATTTTGAAGGTGGATTTCCACCCATTCGGTTTATAAAGAAAAATATTCAATTGAAAACCGTGTGCTATTTCCTTCAAGGTGGATTTCTACCTATGCCGTTTATATCAGTGTTATAAAACTTGGACCAGCCCGGCAGTTCAACTGGAAAACCGATAACCCGGCCCATCAATCGGGTCATAGAGCGACTGACCTGCAATCGACCTAGTGACCCACCTCATCTGGGTCAGTACCTACTAGGGTTGGGTCTAAAAGCTATGGTATATAAACAAATCATTCAATTGAAACCCTAACAAAACTAAACTGCTACAAATAAGGTGTCTTATTTAGGCATTATCAATAGTGACTCTACAAGTCTTACAACTTAAAAGTTCTCTACATTTTTTCAGTTAATGATTGCAGCATTAATTCATGCTGTGCCCACAACTGAACGGCCTTTTGGTTTCATCCATGATAGTAGATCTTCTCGAGTTGTAATGGAAAAACCTGCCTTTTCCTCGCTCTCTAAAAGGAACAGCCAGTTTCTCCACAGGGGAGGCAAAGGCAGTGGCTAAACCTTGAGAGAACTTGAGTTCCAGTTCCAGTGTGCATTGGACGATTTTCAATAGGCTACTCATCCATTTTTGGTATGCGGTGTGTGCAACGGACATTGAGCCGCCACTCCTGTGCGGTCTTGGTATGACATTGAGATCTACACTAACCTTAAACAATTCCTTCACAAAGCCATTGCCTTTTCAACATTTCCTCCACTCCCATATATATTAAGCATTGCTGTGTACCTCCAAGAATCAGGCCTACATTTCTCTGATCCCTTCATCTCCTCAAAAAGCTTCTTAGCCTCTTCCACCAATCCAATATCAGCACACATGACACTATTAGACAAAATGAAATTCATTGGCCAACCATTCGATCTCATCGGCTCCCAAAGCTCCAATGCATCTTTAGCCAACCTAGCCTTACCGTAAATCTTGATCAATGCTGTCAATGTCTTTTCATCTGGGGCGATCCCAGAATCCACCATCTCCTCGAATAAGCTCCTAGCCAATCCAGCCTTCCCGGCCTCCCCCACTACCTCCAACTTCTTGTTCACAACCAAGTTGAGTTGCACCCCAAGTGACTTCATATCTTCTATACATACCCAATGTCATCACAATCCCCCTGCCTCACCAAGCATCTTTCCCAACACCCCGAAAGCAATTGGGTCGGGCTTCCAACCACTTGCCTTCCCTCTCTCGTACAGACTCATTGCCTCCTCAACTTTACTCAGTTTGGCATAAACATCAAGAATAGCAGGGTATGTGGCCTCATCTGGCATCAATCCAGTCTTAAACATCCTTGCAAACCACTCCACTGCCTTATCGAAAAGATTGTACCTTTTTGCACATGTAATAATAGTTGAGTAAGTAATATTATCAATCTCAACCCCACTTTCTATCATCTGAAAAAGCAAGGTCCTCAATGTGCTGAAACTGTCTCCCAAACCTCAAAGTCTTCATGTCACATTGTAAAATATTGTTTCTATAGGAAAAAATTTCTGGGATTTCACCCATTTGAAGAAAGGATGTCTTTTGCCATGGCCTCGAGCTGTTTAACACCACAATAATGCTTCACGTACAAAAAATTGATCTCAGAAGAGATACAAAAATTAAAAAAATCTGATGGTGCACCATACTTCATTATTATTTCCTGACAACTGCCAACCCGTCCCCTTTTACCCACCCCTAATACACCGCACACCCAACACAGCCACCCCACCCACTTATTTCCCTATTTACGATATCAAATTTTGAAAGTATTACGGGAATGTTATATGAAGTCAAAATATTGTATTCTTAATATCATTTCGAAGTGTTCATGGCCTAGTTTACCGCATCCTTAACTGTGTACGAAACGGCCAAACGTAGTAAAAGTTATCACTCGTCGAAATAGACCGTTCCAAAATATATAAATGGTTTTTCTTATTTTTGTCTCAATTTTCAGGATCATTATGAGATGTTAAACGAAATCAAAATATCGCATTCTTAACACCATTTCGAAGTGCTCACAGCCTAGTTTATCGCATCCTTAACCACGTGCGAAACGGCCAACCGTAGCAAAAGTTACCACTCATCGAAATAGGCCGTTCCAAAATATATAATAATGAAGTATAGTGCCACATCAGATTTTTTGAATTTCTATATCTCTTCTGCGATCAATTTTTTGTACGAAAGTGCATTTTCTCTAAAGTTAATTTAATCAATGGTCACTGAACTTTTCTATACATTATTATTTGCTCTCCAATCTTTTTCATCAGTGTTATTTATAGCAAAGTTCAGTGAGCAACGAGTAGGCTTGTTCAAATTTAGGCGAACGACGAATAATCTTTTAAATTTCAGTGAGCAAGTGGTAATATATAATAAAGTTCAGTGAGTAACGAATAATTTTTTAAAGAGCAAAGTTCAATGACCAGTGATTAAATTATCTCATTTTCTCCGGGGGGTGGTTGAGGTTTTTTCTCAAGAACAGCCAAGAAAGACTCCTCAGAGGAACCATACTCATTAACCTTCTTGGCCAAAAACCTGAGGTCTTTGATTTGAGAAATTATATGAATAAGATGGCTTATGGCGTTGAAGACCCAAGTAGACTTAGGTTTGGATAAGAGCTGATGGGGTTGGTTTGGTTGGTCAGATATAAGAATGGTGGATAAGGGTATAAGTAGCTTAGAGATAAAGAAGGGTTTT